TTATTACTAATTATATTATCTTGGTTCTAGAAAGCTTTATATAAGTATAGAATTACTCTTTAAATATTCTTTACTATTTCTTTATTTTTCTCTCCTTCTGATCTTTAATCTCTCACAACTCTCCCATATTATTATTTCTTTTAAGTAAATACAATTTTCATAGAATTGGCATAGACATTAGATATCTCTCTTTTCTTTTAATATTTTCTTTATTAATTTATACTCTCTTCCAATTCAGATTCTTGTTTGTAAGCTAATTTAATGATTAGTGAACAAACTTGTAACAATATTAATATATATTACAAAGTAATACAAGCAATAAAAACAAGTTAACTAGTTGTTAAACTCATTTTTTTAGAATTTTTTGCTATTTTTGCTCTTTTTGATTAATTAATTAAGTTTAAAATTTAATAAAAAACTTAGCTATTAATTACTAATTATTTAAAAGTTATTTATTTATTATATTATATCAAGAATTATTTATTTAAAATTAAATATAATATTTTTGTATAAAATTATATTAATTTTCTTTTTATTATTATTATAATTTTAATAAAATATATAAAGTAACAATAGTATTTAATTAAAAAAAGTTTTTTGAAAACTAGTACAATTAAATAAAAATGAAAAAATAATTTATTAAATGATTTAGTTGCTTATTTTTCTTATTATCTAAACAAAAAATTAATTTATTATTATAATAAAAAACTAATATTTACAATTTTTTAACTATATCTTTTATAATAACTAATTATTTCATACTTCAAATCACAAGTATTTTCTATAAGTATATCTTTTTTATAATAAAATATACTATTAATTTTATAAGAAATCATCTTTTTGAAGATATAACCAAAATTTTATTATATTTAAAAAGTTAATTAAAAACAAAAATTTTACCATTTATTATAATAAAAAACCAAAAATAGTAATATTAATAATAAAAATTTTGATATCTTTGTAAAAATCAGATAAATATTAGCTTTTAATATAATTAATTTTCTTATATATACCAAACTCATTTTTGACAAAATTCTAGAAAAAAATTGAAATATAATTATAAATAAAATAATATTATATTTATTGAAATATAATTATAAATAAAACAATATTATATTTATTAAAAAATAATCAAGATATTTTTTTAGTACTTGCTATCGAATTATCGCTATTTTTCATCTAATTAAAAAGATAATTAATTATTTAGAAGTAAAAACAGCCAATTTTACTAACTGTTTTATTGAATTAATTAACCAAATTAACTATCACAATTAAGTAAATTACTTCTAATAATTCTATAAAAATTCCTGCTATTAGAATATTTGACAATTAATATACTGAATTTAATATAAATATCTATACTTTAATCTATTACTTTTATTCTCAATATTATAATTATGACTTGAAAATAGAAAAATTCATTGAACTTTGCAAACTTTGTCTCAAGATATATTTTCAACAATTATACAATGAAATTTAATGCAAAGAATTGATGAACCAGCTTTGTTAATATAAGACTAAAAATTTATCATTTAATTTTCCCTATAATAATATTTTTCAAACTTTAATATTATAATAAAATGTCATTGATAATAATTATTCTTATTACAAACAATTACTTCTTTTCAAGCTTCTTGTGAATGCAATTTTTCCATTCTCAAATGGTTTTGTAAAGATAATAGAACTTGTTTAAATATCTCAAAATTAGAAGTAATAACGAAAATTCATTTTTGGTATCTTTCTAATCTTACTAAAGAATTACAATATTATAGTAAGAAATTATTATTGGATGATCTTTTTCAAAGTGCATTAGAAAATTCACAATATTCAACTAAAGAAGATTTTAATCTTGTTTCACATAATCTTCAAGTATAACAAATAATTCTAGTAATACTTTATTTATCGAAACTCTTCTTGATTTAACTGATCTATTTTTTCTGAAGATAGTACATATAGTAACACACTCAGATCCAAAAATATAGAAGGGCAAAGAAATATGAATTTTAGCATAGATGATATTACGAATAATTTAATCAATAAATCTATTTTTCAACATCTTTATAATTTAATTTGGAATAATTTGGGCTAATTTGGAATAGTTTGGGATAGTTTGGACTGGAAATAATTTGGGATATATGGCAATTGATTCTTTAATTCCAAAATTAATTTAGCCAAGTTTCAGAAATGGCAAATGACAAAATCTTATAGTTTGGATCCTAGGAAGTGAGAATCCTAGACCAAAGTTTTCGGGATGAAAGTCGTCTACCCTGGGATAATTGGTCCTAAGGTAAGGCAGAATTTATTATGTATTGATATGCAGTGCATTTCGAGAATAGATTCAAATATTAAGAAGTATAGTAGCGAACTAAAGCTAGAGATTGTTTAGCATTTACGTATAAACCCGATTAACACGCGCGATTATCAACCCCGGGTGTATTCTTTTCGGGTGACCCGGTTTGAAATCTTAACCCGGTGTGAACTGTGGAACAAGGAGAACTGAATATTGTTGTAATCTCTAAAGAGTACTTCGCTTGGATGCATACCTCGTTGATTTAGAACTGGTACAAATTAAATTTTACAACCCGGATAAACCCATTAATAAATTGTATTTTATAAATTCTATAAACGAAATTTAATCCGTGAATATAAGTTTTCTTGATCATATTCACGGATTTAATTTGATATTTACTTCTTAGTAAGGAAGTTTATTGATGAGTTTAGATGTTATGTACAATGTTAATAAATTATACCAAAATCCTATTGATATGCAATGAGAATCAAAATCAGTGAACATAGATCAAATGATCGATTAAAATAACCCATCAAACGAAAGAGATTGATGCTTTAAATGGATGCATTAGCAAAAGATAATTATAAAAAGAGCGTTCACAAAGAATAAAACTACACTAAACAAAAATAATAATTTTATAAAACAAAAAATTATTCTAAAAAATCCTGAAAAAAATGATTTCTAAAGTCTTTTTCTTGATTGTCGTTATTCTATCAACCAATGTATTGTCGATCCCAATCATTATTACTCCAACCCATTTTGAGAAACGTGTAGCTCCTTTTAGCATTTTACCTTCTCTTTTCGGACCTGCAGCACAAAAATTTGAGAAAATCTTCTTCGTCGATAACAACTTTGCTAAATCTTCACACGGATTCTTCGGTCCAACTAGCGTTGCTGATTCCGCGAAAAAGGCTCATGTTACTGCTTTTGATAACGCTTTCATTAAACGTGATCATTCAGTTGCACATCCTTTGAGTTTCTTTGGTCCGGAAGCTCAAAAACTCGAGAAAATAGTCTTCGCTGATAATGTTTTTGGTGCATCAAATTCACATGGAATCTTCGGTCCATCTAGCATTGCTGATTCCGCAAAAAAGGCTAAGGTTGTTGCATTTGACGACGCTTTTATTTAATTAGTAGCAATTTTTTGACATTGTAAAATTTTTGATGTAATTGAGTAATCTTAGTTTTAGAGTAAAAACATACGTTACCGAATTTATGTTTTTTTTCTCGATATTTAAAGCATATTAAATTAGATCATATAAATAAATATATAAGCTTAATTTTGGGAACAATAATATATTATATAGAAAAGCATACTTTAATATAAATAAACAATTAATCATTTTGTTTTTATTGCTAAATCTAAGGTAAACATATTGAACTGAGTTCTTTTTCTTACAATGATAAATAAGACTAATAATAAAAAACAAATAAATACCAATTAAAGATTTTCTCCAAAATTAATTAATTTATCTCATTAAACAAAAAACTACAATCATTCCCGGGGACGCTCATAAAAAGATAAAAAGTACTGTGTTAAGAAAGTGAACGTATAAGCTATAGTATATAAGTTGTAGCAATAATCTTAAGAATTTTTAATCTCTCGTCATCTTTAGCGTTTATAAAACTTGAATACATATTTTACTAATTATTTAAAGATTAGTCCTAGACGAATTTCATGCATTATTGTGTCATTAAGATGACATATAGACTTTTACAACCTTTACATACGTGATTTATGTGTTTATATGTCAGTAAAAGTTAACTTTTACATGATATATCAGGCTTTTTCGCTTATTTTCATACTTTTTACGACATATTATTTATAAGCTAGGAGATTAATAGAATTGCACTCACATATATATTTTTTAATTATACAACTCTTTAATAAGATATAAAGCTGCTTCTTAAATCAAACACTTACAAAATCCTATGAAAAATTTTGATTAGATTTCAAAAACGTATGGAAATCGAAAATGTCACGCATAAATTTCATTAATTTCTTGCTTCCCACATAGTCCTTTTTATACCAAATACCAGATTCCATCCAATCAGCATTTGGCCGTAAATAGAAAATCAAATCAACCTTAGATGGTCATATGGACAAATAAATTGTATATCGGCACATGATCCAGCAATATCGAAAGGAATTGTAATAATGTGTGTGTGTCTAACCTTTTTGAAGCCCACATGGATTATTCTTGAATGTATACGTAACTAATAAATTGCAAGCCACCATGTTCAGCAGATTTGAACTAATCAACTTTAAGTAGATAATGTTCTTCTTCACACATTGCAAGTATAATTGACAACGGAAAAAGATACGGTATGAAAGATTTTCAGGAGTACTGCAGTTCATTTTAGAATGCTTCAATATTTCCTGAATTTGTTGAGAATTCAAAGCAATTGAGCCTGATACTTCACCAAATCATGCTCTTGAAGATACCTCATCTTGCCATGTATAAATCTGGGAACATATGGGGTGAGTCAATAGAAACTACGCAAATTATAAAATCTTAATTTTGTGATAATCAATATTTTATATACCGCATTTTATATGATTAATATGTAAAAAAAAAACTTTGAAATACAATGTCTCAAAATTTTATTATGTAAATTGGAATTCATGATTAATTAAAAAAATGATAGTATGTTTATTTCTATTCTTTTAATAAAAAAAATTATTTGCTTGGTTTCTATTGACTCATCACCATATATTAATCATGCAAATTGACTTGAGATAAAGGTGTGTTATGAAGAAGATTATTGCATCTACAGCCTGGATTACTGGATTTGTCTTATATTTATCACCATCCTTTTTTTATGGTAGAAATATATTCAACAACTTGTTGAAACTGTTTAATAACATTAAAATTTGTCAGTGGGATTATGATATCTACTGGTAGACCGTGTAATAACTATTGCTAATGCAATATAAAGTAATATATTTATTTTACTAAAAAATATTTAAAATTATATAAAGAGTGAGTCTATTTTTGCTATAGTAACTAAAAATAGTCTGCATTTCAAATTTTTACCTATGAAATTGTCTTCTGCTTCTACAAATCCTACTGAAGATCCAAACGCTCGAACAATGCAAGATGATAAAGGACAATCATATAAGGTTGATTTAAATGAATATTACGATAAAACAATGAGCATTTGTGATACGTAGACAGCTTCATGGGCTAGAGTTACACCATTAAAGGCACAGAACCAAGATACTGTTAGGGCGCTGTCATTTACGTATTTGGGAGGGGTATCAAAAATTTTACCTCCTATTAGTACCAAGTGATATGTGATGATGTAATAATACCTTGGGTTAGAGGTCTATATCAAATGGATAGGTAATAAATGTCAGAGCCCTCATTCAGCAACGCTTTTACCGAATGGTCGGCTTATTTTTATTGGTGGTAATGCTGTCGAAGTTGTAAGCTCGTCGAATGGCTCAACTACCTCAGTTTCAGCAGCAGACATAAATCAAGTAAAAGTTTTAAAAACATTTTATTATTATATCTTTGATAGTAGAAGAATTGTAGTTTTTATTCTATATTTTAACATATTTAAGTTTCGCCGTGGAAAATTAGTGTAGGTATTTTTTTAGAATAAATAAATTTTGTTTTTGATTTATTCGATATCGCTGATTTTACCTCGTTTAAGAACGCTAAAAACGATACTATGATTCTGAACCGAAGAGGTCATGCTGCTGCACTTTGTCAAACTATTCAAATTCAATCTATTTTTAAATAAATAATATCTAACATTGATTATTTATAATAGCTTCAGATGAATACAGCATTATCATATATGGAGGAATAGGTAAACTAAATATCGATACGACTACTGTACTTATTAGATACCAGAACATTCATATGGAAATAAATAAATGAATAAATCAACCTACACGAATTCCTGCATACGCAACTGCAACATTCAATTTTTTGAATATTTAAACAAGTAATTTCCCTATTCAATAAATTTTTATTTTATTGATAGGCGGTTATGATATTGCAGCAAATGGAAGCAGCGATTTGACAATTTTAAATATAGAAAACAACACACATACTTGTGTCAATGAAATATAAAGCCTCTAATTCATCGATTAGTGCAAATCCAACGCCGACAAATATGACAATAACACCCTCCAAATGCTTCTAATATAATCATTGGTGTACTCGGCTCAGTTGGAATTCTCAGTTTGATTGGAGTAATAGCTTTTGTGTTCTATAGGCGTCGTCAAATGCATGAACGTGACTTAATTTGCTCATTGAACATTCGATTAAAGTAAGACATATACCAGAAGCAGTCAAACGTGACTTAATTGCTCATGAACATTCAACTGAAGTAAGAGTGAGCAATTTGCCTCTGATTCCTCGCAGTATTTAATTTAGCTTGTTTTATTTAACTAAATAGAATTTAAGATGAGAATTTTGATATTTGTATGTTTGATGTAATTTTCCCTGTAAAACGATTTTCTTGAACTTTCCCGAAAATAATGACCTAAAAATATTCATGTTATAAAAAATCTGGATTTAAATAACGCCCTAAAATTGGGTTTCATAATTCAATTTTGTTCAAAAGTACAGTATATGTACAGTCAAACCTCGATTTAACGATGGGTCGGGGATATAGTAAAATGTCGCTGTTTCAAAAAATTCGTTAAATTGAGCTTGATTTAATGATTTAATATGTACTCTTATGGAAGGAGAATTCTGAGCCTGCAAAAATTTTGATCAGACCAGTAAAACAAGTCTGTCATAGAAAAAGAAGAAATGCGAAAAATACGTCTAAATCTAACTTGGAGTACTAATTAAAAACATTGGTGAAGCAAAATTTTTTTTTATAACTTTATCTCAGCCCTAACCCTAAAACTAACATTCTAATGTAATTGATATTAAAGTTGCAAGAGTGATGTTAAAGTAAGATATTAATTAATGATCGTTAATTCGCATAGTCGTTAAATCGAGGTCTGACTGTATACACTTTTATCAACAACGATAATAAAATTTTTTTCTTTATTAGAATAAACACATATTTAATATTTTATTATTAATTTTTTGTAATTTGGTCAATATAATAGTCGTTTACGTTTGATATTTTTAAAATGGAAGAAAAAAATCGATAAATATGGACAACAAAATTACTTATCAGTGGTCGCTAAGCTCATAGATTAATTCCAAATATATATTTGAAACATGCTAAAATGCTTCATATGTTAATAGTTCAGTCTGAATAGTAAGATCCAGAATTCTTAATTTATATCGCATTGTTAACGGATATTAGATGTTTGTGTGGAAGGAATTATAATTACGTATCGTCAATTGCTGATCTGTCCCGTTTTATGTACATGTAATATGGTATTAAGTTATCGTCCAGAGAAGAATTTAGCTTGTACTGAACAAACGGTCTAATGGGTCACCAATAAATTTCAACTGCGGCGAAGCTTCATATATCTTCAGTTGTCAATGGACTGGTCCATTAGTTCTCATTAGTATCAGTGTTCTCAATAAAAATTCGAATTCGCTTTTTTCTCCAAAAATTTTGGAAATTTGAATTTTTTACAGAGTCTTTGGAATAAAAAACTGTAACCATTTTTATAAGATGAATCAATGAACTATTTTTAATGGTGTACTAGTTCAGTATTCCAGTTCATTGATTTATTAATATTAATAATTACTATATATGCAATCAAAACTATTTTGATTTTGACTCAATTAATTGAATCTACTGTCTTAACTAATTGTATCAATAATAATCTGTGATTACATATACATCAAAAACTAATAATTATGCAAAATATAAAATCAAATATCTTAATCTAACTTGGAACTCAAATAAAAAATGTAGAAGAAACAATTTTAATATAACTTTAACATTAACTCAATCCTGATTGCTAACATACAGTCCGCATGAAGAATAATGACACAGTTTTTTAAAAATAAAAAATTTATTTTCGGAATGCATATAAGCAGGGCTTTATATCCCTAAAGTATCAGTATTTAGTATTTCCTTCCTCTGTATCAATACAGGTTTGAATACAAATTGACATATTGTGATGCATCTAAGAATCTCTTCAGACAATATTCTCACACACCTTCTACTGGCCCACTAAAAACCTTCTGTGAAATGTTTCACTTTTGTTAGCATAAATGTACAACTCACTAACATTTGCAAGATCAGATTACTATTTTGTAGTTTAAAATTCGTTATACATGTTTTGCTATGAAATATTGGAGTAAGTTAGAATTAAGAGGTATGACCGTTCAATAAAAATGGTTTTCCTATTAAAGAAAATCCATACATTGTATAATACTTGATATCTTTTGCAGTTTCTCATTTAAGTATGATTCTAAATTAGGCAATTTGAAAATTGGTTCATGAAAACTGGTATGTTTACTGTAGTGTAACATTCGATATTTTCTGATTATCCGAAGTGATCGGCACACTCTATTTATGGTTATATGTATCGGTATAGCGAAGTTAATTGCGATAGGTATAACCATAAATGGCAAATACATGTAATAGCCAGAATTACATATACGACAATTTTTCATGAAAAGTTGCAACCTTGATATATACACCGTAGCTGTGACATAATATAAGGTTGCAACTCTACCGTAAGTCTGTACCCCTAGTGTTTCAGTATTGGTATGCAATTAATTCAATACATGTACATGTATATTCTTATTTCAATATTTAATGCTAAAATGCAAATCAAGTACAGTCGAACTTCGATATAACGAACCTCGATATAACGAACCCTGGATAAAACGAAGTTGGTCCCAGAAATGATTATGGTAAATCCACCTTGATAAACCGAATTTACTAAATGAATCTTGATGACCGAATTTTCAAAAATTTTACTAATAGCCCCGATCACTTCGTTATATCAAGGTTTAACTGTATATGCTTCGTCAAATGGAATGTTTTAGAAAATTTGTTTTATATATATATCTTTTAAGAACCCTTCACTCTCTACACCTCATACTCTGCTTTCTTTCACTACGAGTTCTTTTTATACAAATTCTCCCTTCCATTTTTTATTAAGTTTTATAACCATGGCGCCGTTGTACAATCCAATCTAATCCAAATTCAGCGTGGAATAACCTAACGCTAAACAAATACCGACACATATGGTGATACGAGCACGTTTTATCGCTATTGTTTCGCCAAGTTCGTATATAACAGTATGTACATGTATTGTCTTTCTACTAGAAGTTTCTTAACCTTATATATTCATACTGTCTTTTATGAATATTGTAGATTCATACCTTCTTCTTCTTAAATTTCTTGAATATTGTTTATTCATACTTTTGTTCTTAACATTATATTCATACCTTTGTTTTTAGATTTCTTGAATATTGTATATTCATACTTTGTTCTTAAATTTCTTAAATATTATAGATTCACACTTTCGTTCCTAAATTATGACTATGAGTAATAGTTATTTAAAAGTATTTCGGATTTCCTTTTTACTAGTTTTCTGACCTTTGTATTTGGTGATGGATTTATTCCACCGCCTCGTTGGGGACACATTTCAGCACTAATCAATCAAAAAATATACTATCTTGGAGGTTCTCCGGATCTTATTTATAATCAGCTCTTTTATCTTGATCTTGCTGTGAATTTCACCACAAACTCACCTTCATACACGAAGATCGATAAATTTATAAATTTCCCACAAATACAATATGCAGCGGATTATGCGATTGACTCAGGGATAATATTGTTTGGTGGAAGGGTAAATAAGTTATTAATTCTTTGATTTATTTCCTATAAATGTATTTAAAACTTCATATATAATAAAAATAGCGCCCAGATTCAGGAACATATCAAGATAGCGACACATTGTATATGATTAATATCTCAAATGCAAATGCATCAGCTACATGGTCTTCTGCTTCTACAAATCGTACTGATAATCCAAGCGCTCGAACAAATATTAGAACTGTAATAGATGATAAAGGAAAATTATATATATGGGGTGGAATGGTTAATTTAAAGGGATATTACGATAAAACAATGTACATTTATGATACGAAGGAATCTTCTTGGGCTAGAGTTACGCCACCAAATGCACCCGAACCAAGGTTCAGTTATTCTGCAACGCTTTTACCAGATGGTCGTATTATTTTTATTGGTGGTAACGTGACTTCGTCTAATAACTCTGTTTCAGCAGACGTAAATCAAGTAAGAATTGTTCAAGAGCTTTTTACTTATTGTATATTTTGATAATAAACTAATTGTAGTTGATTCTAGGTTTTGATATATGACACTAATGTAACCCAAGCCTCTCCGTGGAAAGTTAGTGTAGGTGTTTTTTAGTGTAAATAAACTTCGCTTTTTGATTTATTCGATTCGCTGATTTTTCTTCGTTTAAGAACGCTAAAAACGATACTATGATTCCAAACCGAAGAGGTCATGCAGCTGTACTTGGTAAAACTATTCAAATTCGATCTACGTATTTTCAAATACATGTAAATAAGATCTAATATAGATTTTTTTATAATAGCTTCAGATGGATATAGCATTATCATATACGGAGGAATAGGCAAACCAAGCATCGATACGAGTACTGCACTTTTCGTATTAGATACCAGAACATTCATATGGAAACAAATCAATGGAATAAATCAACCTACACGAATTCCTGCATACGCAACTGCAACGTTATTCCAAAAGTATATGATTATAGCATTTGGTAACTTATTTACTTTTCAATTTTTTAACCGAAACAAATTCTATTTTCTCAATAATAAATTTCTATTTTATCGATAGGCGATTATAATGTTGCAGCAAAAGGAAGCAGCGATTTGACAATTTTGAAAATAGAAAACGACACATATACTTGGGTCAATGAATATCGATATATTACGGATCCAACTTCGCTGAATTCGAGTATACCAATAACACCCCAAAATACTAACTATTCGACTTCCGTTCCTCATAATTTAATTATTGTTGTTGTACTCTGCTCAGTTGGAATTCTCAGTTTGATGGGATTAATAGCTTTTGTGTTATATAGGCGTCGTCAAAAGCATGAACGTGACTTAATTGCTCATGAACGTTCGAACGAAGTAAGACATAGACCAGAAGCAGTCGAACATGACTTAATTGCTCATGAACATTCAACTGAAGTAAGACATGTATCAGAAGCAGTCGAACATGACTTAATTGCTCATGAACATTCGACTGAAGTAAGACATATACCATAAGCAGCAAATTGAAATGACTTGTATCTTCGTAATATTTTTGATGTAAATTTTAGACATATCTATATAAACAATGCTGATACTGATAAGTGCATAGCTTTAGATTAGAAATAGGATATTGTACACTTTTCGGAAAATGGATCACCTAAAAAATCAGGATCCCGAGTTTATTTTTTAAAATCCAGATATTTCCTGAATACAGTCTGTCACTATGAACAACCGTGATTATAAAGAGATTATATATGAAGGTCTGTTTCATAAGCAGTGAACTGAAAAAATGTGACAATTGAAAATTTGCACGTAATATGTCTGTAAAAAAGTATGAAAAAGCCTGATATGTCTGTAAAAGACACATAAACGTCCACTTTTATGTGTTTTACAGACATATAAACACGTAAATCGCGTATGTAAAAGGCTATTTAGATACTCAATTACGTACTACATGTCTGTAAAAGTGACAGTTTACGTATCTTTTACACTTTTCGTATACATCTGGCGTATTTTCTTATAGGGATGGAGGTTCGACTGTATTTCAAAACTAACACATGTATATTATCTTGAAATTGACCTGATCATATACATGTACATGCACAGTGTTCCGAATGGAGTGATCCGAAACTACATGGAAAATTCAGTTCATATTGGTTCGCAATCCGTAGCTTTAAAGACCGATTGATCAGAATGTGCAAATTAAGCAAATAAAGCTCTATACGTATAGCAGATGTTCGATGCACTAGTACTCTTGAAGAAGTAATGAATACAAAAAGAGGCGCGTATCATTACACCCTTGCCAGTTTGAGCCATAATTTTTTTTAGTTACTCGCGTGGGTCACGAAAAACATTCATTTTCATCGTGAAAAATTTACCACAATCAATATTCCTTAGAAAAGAACTTAGTAAACGTCAAAAGGAGGAATTATCACAGCAAAAAAGCTAGAGCATACGAATAGTGAGATTTCCGCAGTTGTTGGTTGCTTCATTTTTCCTTACTACGTGTATGGGAGTCGTATGAACAAGTCGACCACGAATTCTTGATGCATTCGCACGCAAACGCCTCAAAAATTTAGTAGTTGGAAATAAAAAACCCGTCGTTAAACTTCCCTCAAATTCGGTTAAATTTTATGAACAATATTAACAAAACTATTTCTACCCTAACTATTCGTAAAAAATTTATTTTTCAAGAAGATAACGCACCTGTCCACACCGCAAAATTTGCACGTTCTTCCCTTGCCTCTTTAAATGTCGAGTTGTTTTCCTGGCCGGCCTAAAGCCCTGATATTAGTCCGATAGAAAATATTTGGTCGTATATTGAGATTAAAATTTGCAAACGTGATTCACAGCTCTCAAGTATTGAACAATGGGTAAAGGAGGAATGGGATGCGGTACCCGTAAGATAAGAAAGAAATAAGGTTTATAAGTTAGTTATTTTGTAAGATGTTTTACAAAAATGTCCAATACTTTTACCCCCCCCCCCCCCGGTACATTGTAATCCGATTTCTTCTAATACTTTCTCTTTGTGTTCCAAAAATAAAGAAGTTTTTTTGGGGAACTACAATAAATATCTCAATTATTTCCTCGCTCAATCAGAGAAATCGTGGTTAGGTTATTTCGATAGCATTTCGAATTTAATCCGAACGGTTTTGTGACAAATAATTTTTGTTTTGATTTCGAATTAGCTTGAACCATTCGGAACACTAATCACCACTATGTATTTATATTCTCACAACTCAAGCTAATTCTATATAGAAATATATATTGTTTAGATAGAACTACATGTATTTTGAAACATAAGAAATGTGAATATACAAATTAATATAGTAGTAGAGTACTGTTACACCGGTAACACTAAGTCTTTTTTAGAAACACATTGTTTTTTTTCTTTTTCCCTTTTTGTTTATTTATGTCAATCAATTTTAATTTCACTGCAAATTCCACCACAAATTCCACCGTAAATTTCACTATAATTTCCACTGTAATTTCCACTGTAAATTACATCATAAATCATAGATACGGAATCAAAAATGTATATAATGAGAGTGAGAAAAAGAGAGACAAAGAGACAGAAAATTGACAATAAACTAATAAAAAAATAAAAACTTTAAAAATAATAATTACTTACTTGTGTATAATAAGTTCTTATGGTGCCTTTTTCCTCTTTATCCCAATAATCCATTGTTGTAAAAAGGGTTTGCCACTTTAATTCAAAAAATTGAGACAAATATAATTTGAAGGATTTGCTACTTTGATCCAGAAAAGTGAGATAAATAAAGATTTCTGTCAATATTCTGAGTTTATCAATAATTTCCTCTCTAATAATATAATTGTCTTTGAACTACAACTATCTGTACCTCTTCTGAAATATTTAACTGTTCAGCATTTTTTAAAGATTTTAATGAATCAACTATTTATAAAGAAATTATAATTTCTTCTACACCAATTATTGATAGAGCAGAAATAATAAAATTAGCTAAATCTATAAATTTAGTTCCAACAACAGAAATTATTAATAAATAATAATCTGAATTAATCAATAAATAGAAACAAAAACTTGAAGAAAAATAAAGATAATATATAACAAAAAGATAAATAAAATACAAAAATTATTACACTATTTTAAAATTAAAAAAAATACTTCATAATTATTTAGTTAAATATCAATAATAATTCCAGAACTATTCATCAAAATATTAACAAAAATTAAGTAAATGATCATATTCAATTGCTAAAAAAACTTTTAAAAATAAAAGAAAAAGTTCTACAAACAATATATAATTTAATACTTTAACAAAATATATTGATTGAATCATTAAGAATTTAAAAATATTTAAAAAATTATTAATTTTAAAAATAATTGAAAAATATAAAATATTCAAAAATATTTATATAATAGCAAAAATCTCTCAAATTATTTTATTATTTTCAATTATTTTTCAATTATTTTTTATTATTTTCAATATTTTTTATTATTTTATTTTATTTTTCATTATTTTTTAATTATTTTTCATTATTTTGATTATTTTTTATTATTTTATTTTACTTTTTATTATTTTTTGATTACTTTTTATTATTTTTCAATATTTTTTTATTATTTTTGATTTTTGATTATTTTTAATTACTTTTTATTATTTAATTTTATTTTTCATTATTTTATTTTATTTTTTATTATTTTTTCAATTACTTTTTATTATTTTTAATTATTTTTAATTATTTTATTTTTTATCATATTTTTTACTCTTTTATTAGTTTTATTAAATTATTTTATTTTTAACTATTATATTTTGAAATTATATTAATATATAAATAGAAATGCTATTTGAGTCTTAACTAATATATTATAAATAAAAAATAAAAATTTTTTTTAACAAAAATTTTCTTTCAAATAATATTTATCTCTCTTATTTTCAATTATATAAGTATTTTTAAATTATATTATGTTAAACAAAATATTATTATTAACTTTGAACTTTATATTATATTATATCAAATAATTATTATTATTAAATATTAGTTTATAGTATATTGTACTAAACAAATTGCTATTATTAATTTTGATCAAGTATTTTAATTTTATTATTTTGATTTTGTTATTTTAAATTTAATTTTTTTTATTTATAAGAAAAACAAAGTAAATAAATTTTTATTATTATTATTACTAATTGTATTATCTTAGCTTTGAAAAACTTGATATAGATACAAAGAATTAGTATTTTAAAATCTCTTTTATTATTTATTTTCTCTCTTTTTTTTAATTTTTACTCTTTATAACTTTTTTATATTATTATATTTTTGAATTATTATAATTTTTATAAAAATTAACATAGAATTTAGATATTTTTTTAATATTTTATTTATTATTTAATTCTCTTTTTCAATTTAGTTCCAAGTTTATAAGTTAATTTAATAATTAATAAACAAACTTTTAATAATAGAATTATTCAAATAGATAATACAAAATATTCAAGTAAAAATATCTAATAATAAATTAATTATTATTAAAATAATATAACAGCTAAAAAATATATTTTTAAAAAAATAACAAAATTTATTAATTTAAAATATTTATTTGAATTTTTTATTACTATTATTATTTTTTTAATATTTTATAATATATTATTTTCTAATTTTAATATTAATGATTTTTAAGTTTATAATTATTTTGACAAATATATTTAATAAATTATATATAAAAAAAGTAATTTTAATAAAATATTTAATTCAACTTATTTTTTAAACTCAAATTATTTTAGAAAAAATTAAAAAAATTATTTAAACTAAATATTATTATATATTAAATTATTATAAATAAAAAAGTAATATTTTTTTTATTATTTAAAGATGGTAAATAAAAAGAATTTTTTTATATTAATATAAATATATTCTCAAATATTTCTCATATCAAAGAAATTTTACAAGCAAAATTTTTATTTTAAATACTTTTTAGTATTTTATAAATAAATATTATTATGCTCAATAATTTGATGTATCAAATTTTTTTATATTTAATATATATAATAATTAGTAATTTAGTATATTTATTACTAAATTTTGTTGTTAATTAATAATATTTTTGAAGGCAAATAATTTATATTCATAACTTATTTTTTTTAATCTTGCTTTTTTTCTCTTCTATTAATTTACTGAAATATAATATATTAAAATATAAATTAAAAAGTATTCAAATAAAAATATAAATTATAATATTTATATATTTAAATTAATAATTTCTAGTAATAATCTTATAATATTAATATTAATATTATTTTTTATAATAATATATAAATTTAATGATCTATAAATATTTTAAAACTTATAATTTTAAAAAATTAATAACTTTTTAAAATATTAATTTATATAATAAATTAAAAACATATAATTTATCTTTAATATTATAAATATAATTAAATATTTTATTCTAATTATATTAATATCATTTTTAAAATCAATTTAATAAAATTATGTTCTTAATTAATTATAAAAACTGCTTTATATTTAGAAATTTACAT